GCTAGGGTCCTTGCAACGACACTCTTTGATTGGCCAGCTTGTAATCATCCAATGGCAATATTTAGGTCGGCACCGTTGAAACGTCCCATTTTCTCATCCAGTATTTGCAAGGGTCTTGGATGAATTTGCGAGTTGCATTTGGTTTTTTTTAATAGTCATAGGTTGTACTCATACTTTGCACGTGAAAAGCAATAATTGCGGCTTTTGGTTGTGTTCGATAAAACCATTTAAAATCGTTTATGGTAGCATTCGCTCACGCATATTTTTCTAAACCATACCAACAACAATACTCAACCCGCAAAACAAGCTTAACTTGACATATGCGTACAAACTTTCGATCAATATGTTCAAATTTTATTTTGCGTTTCTTTTTTGAAGAGTGTATGTTAAAGTACATGTACACAGAGGTACTTTGAAAATAATCTTAAGGTTAAGTAAATGGGGAATATGAATAATATCTCAAAAAGTGATGGATGGTATTTGAATGAATCTTGGTGGTTATGTTAGGTATGACACAAGGGCTATCTGCGTACGGTTTGGTGAAAGTACATTAAACTACAAGTACACAGTAGCACTTTAAAAATGTAATAGTGAATGAAGATTGCTGTGCAAGGCAAAACTTTAAAAGTTAAGAATACCATAAGCGTAGAATTCATGCTCACATGTGCTTTGTATGTCAAATAATTTCGGAGATTGTATTTCAATAGCATATTCTGTTCTTCTAGGTTAATGACGGATTGATTGGCAATGCAAGTTACCTAACAATGCTAAATCCTTGTGAAAGTTAAAATAAATATACTAGTACACATTATACATTGCACTTGAATTCCCACTTGTAACATGTAGTTATCTGTTCACTTTGATATAATTTGTCACTCCTGTATTAATACATTCAGTTTATATTGACTGCTGATTTGGCTTTATGTCATTTGTCATTTAATTACCCAGACACGAGTTTCTTTTTTGAAGTGTGTCAGTGACTGTACTGGTAGGCCTGATTTGACACTTGTGCATGACTATATGTTAGTCACATTAACCTTACCTGGGTACTATTATTACTACATAAGTGTGTCACAGTTGTATGTATTATGAAATGGGAGAATACATTAATTGAATAACGGTTTCCATTAATATAGGCCAATACTTACAATGTTGGAGTCCGATGAAGGAAAGACAATATTTGATTAATTTGTCATCATCATCATCATCATCATAGCACATTTGTAATGCAGTCCATGCTCAAAGCGCAGATAGAATGTAACAAATTACACAATGATATTTGAGAAGGCTTTCCTGAACAAATGGGTTTTTAACTGGGATTTGCATGTGACAAAGTCAGTACAGTCCCTGAGATTCTGTGGAAGTTTGTTCCAGGCCACTGGTGCTGCATAGCCAAAGGATCTGTTTCCATACTGCACTGTTCTTGTTTTAGGGACAACAAGCAGATTTTTATCTTGCGAACAGAGCGAACGAGAAGGCATGTACAGAGAAAGAAGACTGGATAAATATGTAAGGGCAGTTTCAGACAGACAGCGGGCGACAAGGAAGGGATGTTTAAACTGAATTCTGAAATCCACAGGCAACCAGTGTAGACAGTATAGAATAGGAGTGATATGGTCATTCTTCCTGGATCTTGTCACAATGCGGGCTGCTACATTCTAGACTCTTTGTAGCTTTTGTATCTGAGACTTGGTTGCACCGGCCAACAGACAGTTGCAATAGTCAAGTCTGCTCCTGACACGGGATAGAACAAGAGTTGTTGCTGTTTCAGTTGTCAGGTATTGACGGATATTGCCAATGTTCCGGAGTGAGATGAAGCAGGTCTTAACTAGATTAGAGACATGATTGTCAAGTGACAAATCTGAGTCTAGGATTACACCAAGATCTCTGACTTGATCTGCGAAAGGAATATGTGAGTTGTCGAACGTGAAGAAATCAATAGCACACAGATCCCTCCGTTTCACTGGACCCAGGAGTATAGATTCGGTCTTGCTGCTATGAAATTTTAGTTTATTTACTAGCATCCAGGATTTGATACTGACACAGCATTGGGACATGTCTCTCGAGGCAATATCTGTTTGGTCCTTGTCAGGAGTGAAGCATCTGTACACCTGTGCATCATCTGCATAGTGATGACGATTAACACGGTGCTCATCAATTAGGCTTCTGTTATGTACAATGTGACCATACTTGATGCTGGCCGAGTTAGAGTAATGACCATCAATGATGACGGTCTGAACACGACCCGACAGATACGACTGGAACCAAGTAAGAGGTCTTCCGTCAAAGGAAAAATCACCCCTGAGACGATGGATGAGTTTGTAATTGTCGATGGTATCAAAGGCACTGCTTAAATCGAGAAGGGCTAATATACCAACTTGTGTTCATCAACACCACGCCTCAGATCATCGAGGACCTTGACTAGTGCCGTCTCAGTACTGTGATGACCACGATATGCAGACTGGAGATTGCCATACAAATCGTGTTGTTGGAGATGTTCTGACAGTCTAACACACACTGCACGTTCATTGAGCTTGGTGACAGGTGAGGTTAGAAACCGGTCTATAGTTGCTAAATTCATCACAATCCAGGGTTGGCATTTTCAGCAATGGTTTTACAAGTGCTGATTTGAACACAGATTCAAGGCTCGTGTTGATGATAACCGTCAAGACTGGGAGAAGGACGTCAATGGTTGTTTAACAGCACGGACGTTGGTAAAGGGTCCAGAGCACATGATGTTGGTTTAAGTCTCTTTATCAGCTTGAGTTCTTCCTCCTCACTGAAATATCTGAATTTAGTGAGCTTCTGCTGATTACGAACACTACTGTCAATGGACCTACTGATAGGTTCCAGATCAACTTCACTAGGGTCAGACACAGAATCTGCCATAGAGTCACGGATCTATTGGATTTTGTTCATGAAAAACTGCTGGCGGCGCTGTGGAAGAACCCCAGGGGCCTGAGATGACGGAAGAGGGTGCGTTGAAACCTTGCCAAGAAGACGGGACATAGGTCTGTGTAAGGATTTAGAATCATGCATTGATGCAGTGATTTCACTATTGAGGGATGCTTGCTTAGCTCGCCTTATTTTTTAGAGGTGACCTTCAGGAGTTTCTGGCTTCACAAAATATTTGTCTGTCCACTTCAAGGAATGAACGCCTCCACGTTCTCTCGGCACGGCGACGCCTCTGTTTAGCAGCTAGTACTTCTGATGTCATCGTCCATGGCGTAACAAGTCTGTCTGTTATCCGTTTGTTATTAGCTGGTGCATGTTTATCCAAGGTTTCACAAAGCACAGAGTTGTACGGATTTGCGAGTTTATTCGGATCAGTGGGCGGACAAAGCACGAGGCTGCTGGCCGATAGAGCACCACTGAAGGCAGAGTGGTCAATACCCTTTATGTTTCTGTACTTTATGGGCTTCTGTGGAGGCTTCGCTGTGTCCAAGAAGAAGGAAATAGTGATCAGATGTTTGGAGGTCAATTACAGTTGTGTCCACAACACAGCACACGTCCTTAATAGACACAACAATCCAGATTGTGCCCACTCTTGTGTGTTGGAACTGTTACCAACTATATGCACTGCAGGGATTCAAGTTTTCTCCTCTTGAGGCATTGTACATTGCCTTTGTTATTAAAGTCAACATTAAAACCTCCAAGGGCAATGAGTCTTAAATGCACGGTACACTTTGTTTCCAGCAATACAGAAAATTCGTCATGGAATTGTATATTGCTGGAAGAGGGAGGTGGTCGATACAAGGCAACAAAATGTGTTGCAGTTTTGCCAGCCGTTACGACAGCCGTAGCAGGACTTTCAAAAGAGGAGACAGAAGAAGCATCAGCAAGCATTTCACGATGAGAAACAATGGCCACACCCCCACCACGTGATGGACGGGACTTGTGTTTAACCTCATAGCCTTTATATGATTATGTCATATTTTATGTCACCAAATTGAAATTACAAGCATATGTATGGTTATTTCTAGATCATGCATCATCAGTTACCGTTTGATATGCTACATGAAATTGCTGTGATAAGTTTATGTAAATATTGTTTTCTCGAAATGGTGTCGCAAGAAATTTTGGGAACTCATATTCAATCACCCCACAATGACACTTATAGCAAACAGAAAAAATGGAACCATGTCTTTTTCTGAATCCATACACAAAGTGATTGCAATTCGTATTGGTTGCAACAATTAACATGTAATTCCCACTGAGAGGAACATTTGTTATGGAGAGACAACTTCTTTATTGCAGTGGATGCGAGGTTTTGGTGTAGATCCTAACACTGTTATCAAGTAAATGATGTTCCTCTTCATCATAGCAGCTTCTCAGTGCCACGTAAGGAAGGAATTCCCACGGAATTGGTGTTGGCGCGTGGTCCTGTTCTCAAAGCTCAGGTCACAAATCGGTGAAGTTAAGCAGCGTCAAGCTCGGAGATTCCTTGGATGGGTGACCGTGTTTGGCAGCTTAACTCCTGAGAGTTTCTAGGACTTCAGTCCTGTCCCACAACGAAGCACATGTGGTCTCACCCTAGGCAAGTGAGTTTGTTCAAAATTGTCTCTGTTCACCCAGCAGGAAATGGGTACCCGGTGGAAAAAGTCATATGACTATAACCTTCTAGCGCCTAACAGGCAGCTTGGGTTATCCAGGGTAATAATTTGCTGTGCCTTGATTGTTAGCGCAATGAGCATACCTAGTGTGGAGTTTGGCGCTATATAAATGGACACATTATATTAATAATTAAACAACCCCTGCACCATAGCTTCCCTGAGTGCGGGGAGAATAAATAATATATTGCAAACGATGTACCCGCCGACTAATGTATTAAAAGGGAACAGCTGTGTCCGTGTGCATTCATGCCTGCCCTCTAAGGTGACAGTGCTCTCATGGGATTTTTCCGTAAGTATATCCAGCATTCTTCCATTTCGTTCCATTGCAGGCGAAAGGCATAGACATAGCGAAACAGAATTATATTAGATTTTCAAAATGAGTTTGATGTCTGTTGGAGTATATGCTTTAGCTCTATTGATGATGTATGTTGTGAAACAAAAGCAGTTTGTCAACAGTAGGTGTGAGGAGTGTGAAGTGAGATATGTCCAATCTTTTGACGACTTGATGATCCTGAAGTACAAGATGTGGACGAGGCAAGCCCCGAGACAGGACCAATGTTACAGGCTCTGCCAGCTGGATGTCCCCTGCCTCAGTTTCCAATACAACGAAGTCACCAAGCTATGCCGTGGGTACGCCTCTGGTTTCACGTCGCCAACCGTCGTCCAGACATCTGCGGAAAATGGGACTAAACTATACCTGACATGCAGAGGTGAGTGTTTTCATCACATGTTTGTTTATACTGATAGTCATAGTTATTGGTCTTCAGAAGATAGGTGGTGAGTCTCTGTGTCTTGTTTGACGGCGTGAATGTTAGCCAATAATTTCAATCACTGGATTGACTCCGACCATCAGACTGCAACGTTAAACAACAAACAAATATTCACAATTACAAATGATATGTACGTGAAACAGTGTTGTATATGTATTACATTGTTTCTGTCGAGGGCAAAGACGTGCCGGTTACTATATTTAGAATGGGAGATAACAATGGTCTGAAAATGTGCCTCTTACAATATACCCATATAGTTTGAAGGTCTGGAACCTCAGTCATCTCAAGTTGGATCAAATTAAACACCGTGGCAAGGCCTGTATTGGAAGCGTGACTGTTGGCGCAGTTGGGTATGGTCATCTTTGTGTGTCATATTGTCTTTCTGTTTGTGCTGCCACTGAATTTGCTACAAGGGTGGTTAATACAGCAAGGTATTTTGTTAACTGAGATGGTTGAAGTTAGGCAACGTTGGGCGCGGAGAATCCTTGGATGGGTGACCGTGTGTTTGGCAGCTTGACTCCTGAGAGTTTCTAGGACTTCAGTCCTGCCCCACAACGATGCACATGTGATACATGTGGTCTCATCTTAGGCAAGTGGGTTTGTTCAAATTGCTTCTGTTCACCCAGCAGAAAATGGGCACCCGGTGGGATAGGCCATGTGAACATTAACCTTCTAGCGCCTAACAGGCAGCTTTGCTTATCTGGGGTAATAATAATCAGATTGTGTGTTAGTGCTTTGAGCATGTGCCTTGTACATGGAAAAGGCGCATTATAAATTCACAATTATTGTTATCATTATATGGTTAGATGTTTGAGCGGAGGTGGTCGGACTGGTTGGCGGGCTTGATTTGATGCTAGATTTAATACACCATACTTTAACGTAAAACTACCTCCGGGTTGTTTCTTGTGGTACCACAATACAATCCTAAAGCACTTTGAGGCACAATACTCTCTCAGTCAGCGCATGTAAATGAAACCGATTTTTTTTCTCTGGATGACTTAGATTATTGACAGTTTTCGGTTCTTTGAAAACTGTAGTGATTTCCTCCAGTGTTCGAGCAGCAGCCTACACGTTACAGTTAGCATCATGCAAAGAAGAGTCGAATAAGAGTGGCAGGAATATTTTATGTAATCATTCTGTGGAAATGATTTCTTAAATTTTATAGTTGGCCTCCGTTTCTCAATCGGTAAATCACAGGTTTTATTTTAAAGCTACATGAACAAAACATACAATGGATCCTCCACAACAAATATAGACGGAAGCGAAAGAAACCTCAAACTCTCCGAGGTCCAAATGTGTTATTCTTATATTTCCTGGGTCGTCATTTCGAACGAGTAATGCAGAGTAAGTGAAAACCTTGCTATCGAACAACCCAGTTTTTTTTTGCCTTGACACATGCAGATGATCCAGAAGACTTGGCTTTGTTCGTGAAGATTTTCACATGATATGATGTCCATCACTATTCCAGCGACAAATCAAATGGGTTCAGCGTGTGCCCTTGCTGGAGACTGTCTTGCCCCTGCAACTGGCTGTGTTGACGGGATCTGCAACTGTTCCACAGATCACAAGTACTCCATGCACACATGGTCGTGCTTCAAATGTAAGTCAATGCAAGACATACCGCAAAGGACAACACATGACAACTGTTCTGTTGACCCTCAGGATCCGAAGAGGTTTTAAGAGAGGAGCAAAGCGTTCAGTGAATGAAATGAACATGATGATATCCGACGTATGCTTATGGATGGGTATCGGCATCTTTCTAAACCTTTATGTTTAATAACATCATTAAATATATACACATGCAAGGTTAATGTGAGCCAACATACACATAGTTGATTTTATAGGTTTTTGGTGCATTTTTGGAATATTTGACTCTTGATTAGTGGGATATGTTGACAAACGCCATACAAATATGTGGTACAATACAGACTTCCAGACTTATATGAGCCAGACCGATAAACTCTTCAAACAGAAGGAAAGCAGATTCGTTGTTAAGTACACCTGCATGTCAGACAATCTTGGTGTCAACAATTTGAAGAAAGACAAGTTTTATGCAAGTATTTCGGAGGTTTCTGTAACTTCAATATTGGCGACTTCCAGTGAACAAGAACTGTTCCTATTATTTCGGCATTTGATCCGTTAATTGGAAACAACTTTCAGACATGTTCAATGCATGATCTAGAGTGAGTGAGTGAGTTAGTTTAGTTTTACACCGCTTTTAGCAATATTCCAGCAATATCACGGCGGGGACACCAGAAATGGGCTTCACACATTGTCCCCATGTAGGGGATCGAACCTGGGTCTATGGCGTGACCTGCGAATGCTTTAACCACTAGGTTACCCCACCGCCCATTTAAAATGTATTACCAGCAGCAGATGCACCTGTGTTATCTATGCTTGGAGTCAAATACGGGAATAAGGCCACACAATCGAACGTGCCACACGCGTCTTTGAGTAAGCTCCATTAAGGTCGGGTTTCTGTTCCCACACAGTGATCGTACCTAAGGAGAGCGAAGCCCTAAAGACTACGCTGGCAGCAGAACGATCACTTTGTTGAACGGCTCCCAAAGACGGCGTGTATCGTCTTTCATAACTCTCACTTGTTTTCTTTGTAGATTATCATGGGTGTTTTACCGACAATGACAGTCGTATAATGGATTATGCGCACTTGGAATGGACTAACATGACTAACGACATATGCATCAGCCACTGTCGTATCCTTGGCTACCCGTATGCTGGAACAGAGGTAAGTTACCATGACGGAACGGTATGTGGGGGTTTGTTCCAAACAGTGTTCCTGACGCGGCGATGGTTGCCGCCTATATATGGGAGTAACGATCACCTTAACGATAAGATGGCGTATCACTTCATCTATGAACAATAATGTAACACATCACTACATCTATGAACAATAATGTTACACTTCACTACATCTATGAACAATAATGTAACACATCACTACATCTATGAACAATAATGTTACACTTCACTACATCTATGAACAATAATGTTACACTTCACTACATCTAACCTCACCTCTGCCACTATACGTCATTGTATTATATTTCAGCATTCTCAGCAATGCTTCTGTGATAATGCTATAAGCCCGGCCTATCCGAAGCTACCAGACGATCGATGTAATTATGAATGTGCAGGGGACGCACAACAGATTTGTGGCGGTTTCTATACCATCTCTATCTATGCAACTCAACAATGAACTGTCCGCGTGTGCTCCTTGGTACATCTGATATTGTCAAACATTGTATTATGTCTTGTACAGTTCTCAATCATCTGAGAAAGGAAATGTTTGAAAGGATATATGCTATTATATCAGTTTCTGATTTTGTTGAATTCTGGGGAAATGATGACGATGTAATAATTGCTGATTTGCTTGGTGGACAACATTTGTTAATTTAAATATGACAGGCTGGGAGAAAGTTATGCTATAAGTGTCTGATTTTATGACTGTCTGTCACTCCAAATTGTTCTCACAATTAACTGTGTATTGATTCAATGTATATGCAACTTGTAACATTGTTGTAATATGTAACAATCTTCATATTTTTTTGAGGAAATAAAGATGATCTGTCTGACTATCCTACTTTGAGTGTATTCCTGTGAGTATATTTCCCCGCTTGAAACTGAGTGTGTGATAATGGTTTTACGCCACTTTTAGCAATATTCCAGGAATGTCACGGCGGGGACACCAAAATGGGCTTCACATGTGGGGAATCGAACCCGGTTGTTCAGCGTGACGAGTGGACGCTTTAACCATTAGGCTACTTCACCGCCCTCGCGTGAAACTGAACGGGTTTGGGCAGCAATGTAGCAGTCAGCATGTCTGTCCACAGGCCTTCGTTTCTAACGAAAACCCCCCTAAACCGTTGACTATACACATCAGCCTAGGGATGAACTTGTGCCCTTGATGATTTGGGATGTATGCTGTTCCACTATTTTTTAATCTTTTTCATGACGGCAAGTAGTGAGCGAGTAATTTACAAATGATAGTCATATCGGCAGTACTTCAGCCATATGGTGACTAAAACTATTTATATATTCGTTATAAACACAGTTAAATGGAAATACCTGTCGACGAAGGACAACAAAACCTACTAGAATATCACAGCAACAGAATTTTAAAACTAGCATCTATTTCTAAAATTTGATTTGATCTCGATCAGGACAATACAATATAAAAACGGTCTGTAGATCGCCAGTAACTGAAGGCAGATCACCGTACTAAGGGCCATGGGTACTTACAGTACCTTCGCTTCCAACATGGACCCTACATAATCCCCTCAGCTGTTGGCAATTTGGCCAAATTTAGCCATAAATTAAAAGAACATATATGCTACGATTAGACATGTGTTCAGATTAAGCATATTTTAATGGCCTGGTCTTACGTGTGTCTCAACGTGAAGCAAGCCGTAGCCTCTCAAATTAGAAATTCGTCTGTAACTTCACTATTTAACTGAAATTATCCACACCCAGTTACACACATACATATCGTAATACTTGTCACCTGGCACCACATTGGTTTGTGAAATGTATGTTGTTTTGACAAATATAACCAAACATTATTTCCATTTGATGTTTTCCACAATTCTTGTAACATTTGGTCCAAAATTTAGAACAAGTTCATACATAATTATTTAGTTATCAAAATACGATAAATTTGACCGCCAAAGCATAACGTTTGGCTTTACTTACACAATTTGTGCGGCAAGACAAGACAAGTAGTTTCAGGCGTAGCGAGCCAATACTCTGTACGTAGCAAACCGTAACGGCCACTAGCAAACAGTGCGTATTACAGGGTGTGAGGTAGGGATGCCTCTTCACGCCTTGTTGATTCTGATTCTGAGCCACATATTATGCCTGATACCCAGCGTTCACACCCACTTGCCCCTGAAACCAAGGTGCTCACTACCCTGATATTTTTCTCGGGGTTTTTTCTCCACGTTTTCACTTTGGTCCAAAACTACTTCCATCGTCCGCTGGACTATGCAAAAGGAGATAACTCGTGCCTCGCATTTCTCTGTCTCTCTCACCAAAGAGTCTCGATCTAAGCTTAGATCGGATCGTAAGATCGGGACCGGCTAGGATCGGCCTAAGATTGGTTAGTGGAACGGGTGTAACTTTTAGCTAAGACGATTGTAAAATTGGCGTAACTTGCTAAGATTGATCTTAGATAAGATCGATTAGGTGGAACGACACCCAGATCGTTATGTGCTGGATATGTCACCCCACACCATAGAACTGTCTCCACCGAATATGTCGACCGGTCGAATGCAATTAGGAGGAAAACGTTCGTTTCTCCAACGGTAAACGCTGTCTTCCATTTCGCTGGTGAAGAAGAAATCGTGATTCATCACTGAACCAGACTCGCCTCCGGTTCCTAAGGTTCCTCTTCCGGACTCTACGACACCACCGCAAGTAACTGCGCCGATGGAAGTCTCTCAAAACACCAACGACAACTGTGCTTCTTGGTCGAATCCCCACTTCACGCAATCGATTTTTGACAGTTTGGTCGGAAATTTTTCTAAAAACAGGGATGCGTTGTGCAGTCTCTACGGCTGTGGCAAGACGATGACGCAAGTGAGGAACCCGGATGTAGCGGTCCTGGGTTTGTGTGGTAACTCTTGGACTGTGGCTTTTGGGGCGATGTGGGGCAGAATTGGTCTGCAGGAAACGATCGCAAAGGCGAGATATGGTGCTCTGATGAACGTTGAAATGTCGGGCAACTGCAGACTGCGACTCTTCTCCAGGTAAAAACGAATAACAAAATTACACACAACGTTTGCCTTATGATCAATACATAATGTTTCGTATAATGACCAGTCAGCCCCGGCGAAATTCATTCTTGATAAAAGAGGATCATCATAAGGGTAAATAGTTTTTAGAATAGGGAAGTGATCACTCCCACATAGGTCATCACGGACCATCCAATTAAATTCACTACACAAGGTGGAATCGGTGAGTGCCAGATCGAGGACAGAATATATTTCAGTGGCCTGATGTAGATCGAGGTCGAGGAATCATCATTAAACATACATATGTTATTCTCTGAAATTAATTCCTCAAGTGTTTCAGCTTTATCATTAGTGTGGGCACTTCCCCAAAGCGGGTTATGTTCGTTCAGATCGCCCATGATGATACATTTCTTAGGAAGCTGATCATACAGATTTTGAAGATCTGATTGTAGAATATTAAAAGGAGGACATACATGTACAAGCTGCACAGTGTCAATATGATACACTGTGCAGAGTCAGACGAACAGCAACAGTCTGAAGATATATCTCAAGTGAGACAGTATTCTGTATGTTTTAGACAAGTCTCTTGGAGACATAATGCTGACGGTCGAAAATCTTATATTAAATAGTATTTCGTTGAAGTTATTTTTAAGTCCTCTGCACTTCAACTGAATAAGACCCGGTGCCTCAGTTGGGGAGATCTCTCGTGAATGTGAGGAGGAACTACTCCTCCGCCTGTTCTGTGAGGGCAGAGTAACCTCCATCTCTGAAGGTCCAAATGAATGTTGGAGAGGAACCTCTAAAGGCGAAGGGACGGTAGGTGGTAGGTTTCTGATTAATCTTTTTCCAGCTACCTCAACATTACAAAATTGTTTGATTGACTAAAGATTTAGAGATTGCTGTCTCTGTGCACACCGGACCTGAAGTGAACCACTATGAGAATTGGCAATCTTAATTTCATTTTATTCGATTTACTTCTTTGTTTAAAGTGAAATTCATCGGTACGTTTTCACTACAAACAGACTATAGCATACGTGTGGCATGGTGGAGGCCCTGAAACTTATATTACTTTCAAGAAAGACGTTGCATCCGGCAACGTTTATTGCCGAGTTGCCATCATCTATTCAGTAAAATGTAGTCTGAATATTTACTTTTGGATATGTGAATATGCATATGTCATTCGTCATCAGTCACATTCTTTGTAACTTCCGCTGCTAGGATCGATTCAAGAGCGATGGCCATAGGTTGATCATTACGTTAATACTGAAGAATTATCGATTGTGCTCTTTGAAATTGCATTGCATGGGTAGATTCATATGACTATTGATGGTATTGCACAAGAGTTCATGAATTCATAAAAACTTTATGCATACAAGAACATTGTGCATATTTATTGTATTGCTACTGAGTGATCGCCCTTATCTTATGGTCATTTTATCATATCATTTTCACTGCTATTTCCTGATGTTGTTTGTGTTGGAATTGTGTGGGCTTTGTGTGTGGTAGTGTAGGATATAGCGAACATTGGAAGGATCATGGAAAGAATGTTTTCAAGTAAGTTAATTGCATGATATTAGCTGTTTGGGATGGTTAAAGTCACACTGAGCCACATTCGAGCTACAAAATGTATATGACGGTGGCTGGAAAGACACCTGGACAAGACAATCCAGTGACGAATGTCATCAGCGAGTCAAACCGTCGGGGTCTCATGACACTCTAGCACGTGACTGGATTTCCCCATGGATTAAAAGTAGAGCTGCAAGCATCTGATAATTGCAGTTATCAACAGGAAATGGCCCAGAAAGTCATCATCATGCTATTCAATGTTTCACACTGTCCCCCGTAAAGCCATCCATGCGGAGATCCTGCCAGAATCGGACCTGCATGCTTGTTGTTAGCCCCGAATGTCTTAATATCTTGGGTTTCCCTTGCTGATTCATACAACTATTCCACAATATTAAACTCCAACTATGGTCAGCTGGTGTTGACTAAGTTCGTTTTGATACTCATACTCAAACTGATCACAAACATATTTGAATTCAGTCCAGATTCTTGTCGGAGCGGCGGGGTAGCCGTTAGTTAAATTGTTTGCTCATAAAGCTGAAGACACAAGTTTGATGTGTTTACAATGGGCCAATGAATCCACTTCCTGTCGTCACCAGCTCTCATATTGCTGTAATATTGCGGGTAGAGATGTGTATCGACACTAACATACTCTTGTCAATGTAGAATGTATCAATAGCCTTTGACTAGTTTCTGAACAATAAATATATGTTGTTCTTATAAAACAAGGTTGACGTATAAATGATACGTCAAGTATTTGTGGATGTATCTGACCATGAGATGAACTGGTGAGGATGTGAACTTCCAGCATTAATGTAAATCACTGTTGTGGACAGACTGGTTTCATTGGACGTTGACAAACAAATGAAATGTGAATGCTACATTGAAGGTTATGCCATCTGGTATTGGGTAGTACTGCTCCCGTCGCCACACCTACGCAATGTTCTGGCAAATTATGATCTGGTTCATCTTTGTCCCAGAACACCACGTCCAAGCCACTACCATCGGTCCATGTCCAGTTGTAAAATCTTTTGGGGGCAGAGGCACCAAGCCAGATTGATTCACCTGCAAATAACAACAACCTTTCGAACACAAGTCTTTAACAGCATATTAGCTGCATCTGTTGACATCATAAGCCCAAGATAAGAATACTGTCCCAAATGATGCAGATTTGGTGAAACCGCTGGCTGCCTTAGCGTCATGTTTACGTTGGTGGCGTTGTCCAAAGCACTAAGGTGATCGTAACAGCCGTATCTTAACATCGACTTCCGACAATCGTAAGTCTTTTTTAGCCTTATCTACAATCAACGGATTCTGTGTTGTAAAACGGAGGGCGGAAACATTCATATAACTATGTTAAACGTGCACAGTGTTTACATTCCCTATATAGACCCGTGCAGATTCGGGTTAGAATCGGTCTTGAGTCATCCATGCTTGTCGTAAGAGACGACTAACGGAATGACACATGTCATCGTATCCCAATTGTGTAGCAGCCCATGCTGTTGATCACTGGATTGTCTAATCCACACTCGATTATTTACAGACCACCGCCATAAAACTGGAATATTGCTCAGTGCGGCGTTAAAACAACATCCAATCAACCATATCCTCTATAACCCAGCCGTATGTTCCATTACCTTCGTGGGGCGGTGGGGTAGCCTATGGTTAAAGCGTTCGCTCGTCACGCCGAAAACCCGGGTTCGATTCCCCACATGGGTAAAATGTGTAAAGCCCATTTCTGGAGTCTCCCGCCGTGATATTGCTAGAATATTGCTAAAAGCGGCGTGAAAACATACTCACTCACTCCATTACCTTCGTAGAGGCATTTTGAAGTATGAGCATATACCTGTATTGTTATCCTTCCTGTAGATTTAATGCTTGCATTTATGTAACACTATATATCCTTGTCCTTAGATGTTGGCCTAACTATTTTGCTATCAGTCAGTGGGGTGCACACTTACCAGATCTGCGACTTATCTTGGTGATGAGGCCTTTAATGCCGGCGCTGTTCACTTTCACAAGGTGGCTGTCGTATTGATGACACGTTTTGTTGGCGTCAGCCCATGTTTTCCTTGATTTGTTGAGCTTGTAGCAGAGGTCGAGATCTCGGCGCCATGTGAAGCCATTGTCACAGTCATCTAGAGAAGAACAAAGTGTAGTGATGACTCACCCACAGAAGAGTGTGCAGCTGACATTGTGCCGATGAGTGTGTTAAAATCTCCCCAACTGACGTCGGTGTCTACATTTTGTTAGTTTGTTTGTTACAGCACTATTCCTGCTATATGGCAGCAGTCTGTAAATAATCTAGTCTGGATCAGACAATCCAGTGATCATAACCATGAGCATCGATCTACGCGAATGAGGTACGATGACAGGTGTCAGCCAGCCTGACACCCGATCCCGTAAGTCGCCTCTTTTGACAACCAATTGAACCAATTCAAACCTGGATCTTTACGGGTTAGTTTGTATGATTAAATGCTTGGCAACATCAATCTATAACTATAACTTTTTTTATTTGTGATAGACATAATATAGTCCACGACGCCAGAGAAATCCCATTGTGCAAATTGAAATTTTAAGGCGTATATCTTTTAATGTAAACCGGGGTAAGTATTAGGAAAGGGCAGGACAATTTCAGTTCTTAACCATGCACCAACATATCAGAAGGAGTGAGTGTGTTGGGTGTAACAACCCTTTGAACACCACTCCAGTAACATCGCGGTGTATCAACGTAATGTTGGAGAAGAGACCGACCTGAAACCTACGAGCACCGGTATGGCGCCGACACACCTGGAAACCTGCGAACCGGGATTCGAACCCACGACCATTGGTTTTCTGGCTTGCCCAACGAATGGTAGCGCCGAATATAACTGGTGCTTCCGAAACCTAACTGACCCGGAATTATGTCACTTGCTCCCATGACAACAAAATCTGGTTCGGGAATGTGGAGAAACATTCCCACACTGATGTTCTTTCCCACAAATCATTATCGTCACCACCATCTCAATGTACACCAAACACAAAAGTCATATGACTAGAACCTATGCCACGCTCTGTTTTATAATCTGAGACTGTTGGACGGTTGTAACAATTTATCGTAACTGTGACCTGCATGAAAAGTGTGCTGTGGAGTAGAAACAATTATTATTGTGCAACTCATTGAATAATAATAACGATGGATCGGTCAAGTTACAAGGGGGAGGAGTTATTGAGCATCTTGTGGAAGATCAGGCCTACACCTACCTGGGAATGCAAGTTCCAGACAAGCTCCAGAATGCCCAGATTCAAGACAAACTTCGGGCCGAGTACAAATCTCGCTTAAAGAAACTCAGAGCTAAATGCTAGAAACAAGGTCAAAGCCACCAATACTTTTGCTGTGCCAGTCCTTTCCTATTCCTTTGGAGTAGTTGATTGGACAAAGCAAGACATCCAGAGTCTTGACCGCCTGACCAGAAGGACCATGTCTGATAACAGAGCTCACCACCCTCGTTCCTCTCTTAATCGTATTTATTACCCACGGGGTAGTTCGTCATAACACCTTAGAGTGATTTGATTGGCTAATACGTGAACTTTGACATTACCGGTACTACCTTCATCACTCATTCCCTTCACGTTTTCATTCAGAAGTTTTCACACCTTCTGAGAGCATGTAAAACGAGAACACTTCTATGAAATTAAATAAAATGTATTTTTAGTGTGGTTACAAGCATAGGTTTTCAATCCTTTAATAACTCAAGTTTCTGTACATTAAAACGAAATAAAACAATCTAAATAAGTAAACAAATACCTCTACTACTACTACTAGGTCTATCGTGAGTGTAAACAAATATGGCGTCGCCCATAAAAGTTAATGATTTGGTCAACTGGTTGGAAGAGTTGTGAATATTACCAGGCCATTGGATACCTTCAGTGTGTATATTGTCGGGACTGCACAGGGGGTTTCTAACATACAACATCAAAAGATGAGCGGCGCTCTTGTATCTCCATCACTGCCACTGTCGGCTGCGTCTACTTGTTCTCCCGCACATAACATGTTTCTACTGCCACTGCCATGCCTCCCGTGGTTTCTCATGCTGGCTGGCTGAGTATGGTTTTACGCCGTTTTTAGCAATATTCCAGCAATATCATGGCGGGGACACCAGAAATGGGCTTCACAAGTTGTGCTTTCTCATGCAGAGGTTAAAAGCATTTATTATTTACAGTGACTCCTCCTCCGATGTAGATCATTAACCACAAATATTTGAGACATACAGTTCCCTGTTATTCACATTCGGCTTCTGCTGTTGTGTGTGCCGCTGTTAATGCTTCCTTTCATCTGTTTGTTTGTGAACAGTTCTCAACATGACGACAGTGATGGCTGACTGACGTTTAGGCGAGATTTAGGTCACGTAGTTAAGTTCAAAATGTTTACACTTTACAAGTGTTTTGACGAATTACATTATTGCATTTGAAACCAATTCATCAATTGAAAAGAATTGAATTTTGATTCCGACTTGATTATGTCTTACTTTATTTATTTTCTTGACTAGTTAAAGGAACTACATTGCCTCTACGCAGCGTACATTTTCCTTGAGTGAAGCGGTTGACATTCCATTCACCAATATGATGTTTTAATCCGCGTTGTGCGGTTCTATATAGAAAAGCAAAATATTGCTTTATGTTAACAATATTTTCATTTTTTTAGAACGTGGGTAATAAATAGGATACAAAACTCGTTTATGTCCCTCGTGAAATAATTTTGTTTTGTCACTCGCTCGTGACAAAGCCAAATTATTTCACTCGGGACTTAAACTTGATATGAAAGGGGAACGAGTTTGATATCCTATAAATATATGCCAATCAATTCTGGAGGTTGGGGTTTGATTAATGTGGGAGGCTCTTCATGATAGAATGTTATTTTGTACTTTTGCACATATTTATTTATCGGATGATCCTCTGGAGATGCATTGCAAAACGATGAAAACGAGGAATTCCACAGCTATATTAAGCGTGCAAAGGTTGTTTGACAAAACTTGAAGTTTGAGGTTAATTTTGTTGATGGCAATGTACTGCTGGACAGTACACCGATGGGAGTATACCTTCACCAAGCCTGACCAGAGTCGGTCATTTGTAGAGAAGCTTTCTGAGAAGCCATTGCATCATGTGTACATGCAGTGCGTGGAACAGAATAGCAATCCCACCGACTCTTTCGCCAGGATGAAGTCGGAAACTGAGGGCTTCCTTTTGCTGGACATGATGGCATGGTTCGTTGCTTTTACTACCGTCTCCGTCACGTGGCTTTGACTCTGAGGTCCATCCATGATACGACCCTGAAGATGTCCAGGGCGTCATGGAAAATGATGCTTTCAAACTTCTCTGGAATAGGCCCATATACAGCCTCAGAAGAATTCCAGCCAACAAACCTGATCTTGTCCTTTTTGATAAAGCCAATGAATTTATTCATATCATTGAATTTTCTGTCCCTTTTGACAGCAATGTGATTGGCAAGATTCAGGAAAAGCATGATAAATATGCGGACCTCGCCTTTGAAATGCCTCGCTTGCATCCCAAGTACACTGTCGTCAGGCTCCCTATTGTTATCGGTGCCCTTGGTTAGGTACCTCCTGATCTCTTGGCGCAGATCAGGAGTGTGCCCAGGTTCTCCACCGGGAGCACAGCCCTTCTGACACTCTGGGTAATGCAGAAGGCTGCAGTGTTGAGGAGCCTACATATTCTCCGGAAAGTTTTTGGTTGGTTCGACTAGGCAGCGTTTCCTGGGAAAAGTCCCCATTCGCTGTCTGGTCTGCATGTAGAGGGGGGCAAGGGCCCTGAGCTGATGATGAGCCTTACCAGCCTGAATGTGCCAGGATCACCCGAACCCTCTCTGCTGCATTTCCATGCTGATAAACATAATAACAATAATTAAATCCACACCGACATCATGCGTATTATTAGTATTACCCTGGATAGCCCAAGCTGCGCTAGAAGGTTAATAAACACATAACCACCGGGTACCGATTTTCTGCTGGGTGAATTTTTTTTAACAAACTCACTAGCCTAAGGTGAGATCACATGTATCGCATGTGATTCGTTGTGGGGAAGGACTGAAGCCCTAGATACTCTCAGGAGTCAAGCTGCCAAACACGGTCGCCCATCCAAGGACTCTACGCGCCCAACGTTCTTAGCTTTACTGATTTGTGACCTGAGCCTTCTACACAGGACTACACACCATGATATTACATTATGATTTGTTTGTTTGTTGTTTAACGCTTCACTCAGCAGTTCTGCAGTCGAGTCTGGACCAGACAATCCAGTGATCGATACCTTGATCATCGATCTGCGCAATTGAGATACTATCACCTGTATGAACCATGTCAACGAGCCTGACCACCAAATGCCGTTAATCGCCCCTTACGACAAACGTGGGTGGTTGACGATCAGTTCTAACCCTGGCTTTCTCGGGTTCCATGCATAAGGAGAAGGCTCGCCAAGCATAGTATCGAACGATGCTTTGAAACTGTTCAACATACCTCTGGTCCATACGAAGTAGTCTACATCACGTGTTGTCTTTCCCAGGGTTGTTTCCTCAAACAGTTCTGTAGTCAGCTGACAGGTTTTGCTGTTTATGTCGTAGAATAACGAGGAGCAGTTACGCTGGTAGTAGCATTTAGTCACGCACTCTCTCAACGAGAAGACAGGTGTTCCTGAAGGTAGGGACGCCATGTAAACCCTTTGGAACAACAACGACATTGCTACTTCCATGTCTAAGTGTGAACAAACAACAGTGTCAACTGTCCAACCGTTCCCACAGGTCTGTGATGTAATTCCGCCCTTTGCGGCATCACAAGATGTATTTCCACCCTTGATGGCATCACGTGATCACGTACCACGTGGTAATACTATTACAGCCAATCGGAAGGCAGAATTTGTGCAATTGTAATATAATCATCTACAAACCCCTCACCAGTCATGCTCGTTATTGACAAATCAGCGATTTATATATTAACTCACTCAGTAACCTATTCACAAAACTGTCGTTACCCTCCTTGTAATATTCCACTACGTCAGTGTGTTTCACACTACGAACTACATTGAATAAGGACATACTGTTGAAACGACAGATGAATAAATGAAATAAATGCATGCAATGAAAAGAATATTCTCAACTAAAATATTGTGCATAACGCTTATTTTCAATTATTAAAATTTAATCAAAGAAGACAAAGGTTCCATTCCAGCTGCTTACTGCCTGCACAAGATAATGTAAGGTTTTGTGTTAGCGTTAGTGTTGCGGATGGGAATACACCCTTATGAATATTTTAATTCGTCGGATATAATACCTTCTCAAACTATACTTCCTTTATAGATGCTGTGTGTTTGTGTCTTGATTGCCGCCACAACTTAGAATTACCTGCAGACATCAATAATATACTTTAAAATCAAGATTCCCAAGATGACCATTTGGCTTTCACCGGACTATAAGTGTTGTGTGGCAGAGGCTTTACTGTCACTGTACCTAACACAACATGGCAGCAGACAAGATCGCCTGGCGATTATTACAGAGAAAAAGCTCTCAGCGTAATGGACAATGGGCACACACATCTAAATCCGTTCAACTTCACATAAATAGTGTGATTAAACACACCCTGCTTCAAGGCAAGCAACAACTCTCCGTCGCACAGAAAATGTCGCTCATACTGTTCATGTAGCAGCAGTACACATCTGTGTAAAACACAAGAACTTATATTAGTATCTGCTTTGTATTTCTTTTTACCGACAATTTCTGTTTACCGACTAAAGCAGGACAGGGCATCCAGACTTTTGAGTTACCGACATCCTCGCGCGATTTTAAAAATGCTTATTCTTCAACACGTAGACGTTAATAAGCAAATTCAGTGCATTCAATGTATTCACACCATCAAAGTTTATCAGTGTGCTAAATAATGTTGATTGTATACACGTGGAAGACTGCTAATTCGAGGGGAATAATCGCCAAGCGATCTTGTCTGCCGCCATGTTGGTACAGTGACTGTGTTGCCGTTAACACTAAGAATTTGAAGCGAATTTCATCTGCTAAGTATCATCTATCTTCTATCGTGTTTTCTAGAACAGATGTAAATCTTGTCGAATCATGCCTGAACTATATGAACGATTTCAGTCTTGTTACCCCATGCCTAGCATGGCATAGATCAGGGATTTCAGTCTTGTTACCCCATGCCTAGCATGGCATAGATCAGGGATTTCAGTCTTGTTATCCCATGCCTAGCATAGTTCATTTGAAGCATGGGCTCCTTCTGACCCTGGTTTTCCCCTGCGGTGTAAACTTCCGTGTGCAGGGAAGAATGCATAATGAGAGAACATCATCGGCTCCGAGTTTAACATATGCCTTGGTACGTGCACATAGTTAATGGCCGTTTTAGGAGTGGGAAACCATCTCATATCATAGCAAGAACATTTTGATGGAAGCATACATTATATATTCAAATGTTTCTTCTCGGTAAGGAATAAGAAACCCATGCTCTGTTAAGCAGGTTTAACTGAGAGCAAACGCTTTTCACACATATGGGTGATATCATGAATAATGAAGATAATCCAAAATGAACCAAGCAGAACCCAGAAAATGGTATTAGTTATTAAAGGGTATTATAAGCTGTCAGGGATGGACTGTACATCTAACTATATATATTTGCATACAACAATTATATCCTACCAGGCTAAGAACGTTTAAAAGGTGATAATTTAATTCAACAATCCAATATGTCAACGATCACTACAGCTAACATTAGGCCACCATACTAAGGAACATTTCGTCCAGGTAAATGCACGTTTCAGCTTAATCATTCCTGTTGTGTCAGAGGAGACGATACGTTGTGTGTTTGTGAACGTTGGATGTGTGTTTGTGAACGTTGGGTGTGTGTTTGTGAACGTTAGATGTGTGTTTGTGGACGTTGGGTGTGTGTTTGTGAAAGTTGGATGTGTGTTTGTGAACGTTGGGTGTGTGTTTGTGGACGTTGGATGTGTGTTTGTGGACGTTGGGTGTGTGTTTGTGGACGTTGGGTGTGTGTTTGTGGACGTTGGATGTGTGTTTGTGGACGTTGGGTGTGTGTTTGTGAACGTTGGATGTGTGTTTGTGGACGTTGGGTGTGTGTTTGTGGACGTTGGGTGTGTGTTTGTGGACGTTGGGTGTGTGTTTGTGGACGTTGGGTGTGTGTTTGTGAACGTTGGATGTGTGTTTGTGGACGTTGGATGTGTGTTTGTGAACGTTGGGTGTGTGTTTGTGAACGTTGTGTGTGTGTTTGTGGACGTTGGTGTGTGTGTTTGTGGACGTTGGGTGTGTGTTTGTGGACGTTGGGTGATTGGGTGTGTGTTTGTGAACGTTGGATGTGTGTTTGTGGACGTTGGATGTGTGTTTGTGAACGTTGGGTGTGTGTTTGTGGAACGTTGGGTGTGTGTTTGTGGACGTTGGGTGTGTGTTTGTGAACGTTGGGTGTGTGTTTGTGGACGTTGGATGTGTGTTTGTGGACGTTGGGTGTGTGTTTGTGGACGTTGGGTGTGTGTTTGTGAACGTTGGATGTGTGTTTGTGGACGTTGGGTGTGTGTTTGTGAACGTTGGATGTGTGTTTGTGGACGTTGGATGTGTGTGTTTGTGGACGTTGGATGTGTGTTTGTGAACGTTGGGTGTGTTTGTGAACGTTGTTTGTGTGAACGTTGGGTGTGTGTTTGTGGACGTTGGATGTGTGTTTGTGAACGTTGGATGTGTGTTTGTGAACGTTGGGTGTGTGTTTGTGACGTTGGTGTATGTGTGTGTTTGTGGACGTTGGGTGTGTGTTTGTGAACGTTGTGTGTTGTGTTTGGATGGACGTTTGGGTATGGGTGTGTGTTTGTGGACGTTGGGTGTGTGTTTGTGAACGTTGGGTGTGTGTTTGTGAACGTTGGGTGTGTGTTTGTGGACGTTGGGTGTGTGTTTGTGGACGTTGGATGTGTGTTTGTGGACGTTGGGTGTGTGTTTGTGGACGTTGGATGTGTGTTTTTGTGGACGTTGGTGTGTGTGTTTGTGGACGTTGGGTGTGTGTTTGTGAACGTTGGGTGTGTGTTTGTGAACGTTGGATGTGTGTTGTGTGTGTTTGTGTGTTTGTGGACGTTGGATGTGTGTTTGTGGACGTTGGGTGTGTGTTTGTGAACGTTGGATGTGTGTTTGTGGACGTTGGGTGTGTGTTTGTGGACGTTGGGTATGTGTTTGTGAACGTTGGATGTGTGTTTGTGGACGTTGGATGTGTGTTTGTGGACGTTGGGTGTGTGTTTGTGAACGTTGGATGTGTGTTTGTGGACGTTGGGTGTGTGTTTGTGAACGTTGGGTGTGTGTTTGTGAACGTTGGGTGTGTGTTTGTGGACGTTGGATGTGTGTTTGTGAACGTTGGGTGTGTGTTTGTGAACGTTGGGTGTGTGTTTGTGGACGTTGGGTGTGTGTTTGTGGACGTTGGGTGTGTGTTTGTGGACGTTGGATGTGTGTTTGTGAACGTTGGATGTGTGTTTGTGAACGTTGGATGTGTGTTTGTGGACGTTGGGTGTGTGTTTTGTGGACGTTGGATGTGTGTTTTTGAACGCTGGGTGTGTGTTTGTGAACGTTGGGTGTGTTTGTGGACGTTGGGTGTGTGTTTGTGAACGTTGGGTGTGTGTTTGTGAACGTTGGATGTGTGTTTGTGGAACGTTGGGTGTGTGTTTGTGAACGTTGGGTATGTGTGTTTGTGAACGTTGGGTGTGTGTTTGTGAACGTTGGGTGTGTGTTTGTGGACGTTGGGTGTGTGTTTGTGAACGTTGGGTGTGTGTTTGTGAACGTTGGATGTGTGTTTGTGGACGTTGGATGTGTGTTTGTGAACGTTGGGTGTGTGTTTGTGGACGTTGGGTGTGTGTTTGTGACGTTGGGTGTGTGTTTGTGGACGTTGGGTGTGTGTTTGTGGACGTTGGGTGTGTGTTTGTGAACGTTGGATGTGTGTTTGTGGACGTTGGGTGTGTGTTTGTGAACGTTGGGTGTGTGTTTGTGAACGTTGGGTGTGTGTTTGTGGACGTTGGGTGTGTGTTTGTGGACGTTGGGTGTGTGTTTGTGGACGTTGGATGTGTGTTTGTGAACGTTGGATGTGTGTTTGTGAACGTTGGATGTGTGTTTGTGAACGTTGGATGTGTGTTTGTGAACGTTGGGTGTGTGTTTGTGGACGTTGGGTGTGTGTTTGTGAACGTTGGGTGTGTGTTTGTGAACGTTGGGTGTGTGTTTGTGGACGTTGGATGTGTGTTTGTGAACGTTGGGTGTGTGTTTGTGGACGTTGGGTGTGTGTTTGTGGACGTTGGGTGTGTGTTTGTGGACGTTGGGTATGTGTTTGTGGACGTTGGATGTGTGTTTGTGGACGTTGGATGTGTGTTTGTGAACGTTGGATGTGTGTTTGTGGACGTTGGGTGTGTGTTTGTGAACGTTGGATGTGTGTTTGTGGACGTTGGGTGTGTGTTTGTGGACGTTGGATGTGTGTTTGTGAACGTTGGATGTGTGTTTGTGAACGTTGGGTGTGTGTTTGTGAACGTTGGATGTGTGTTTGTGAACGTTGGATGTGTGTTTGTGAACGTTGGGTGTGTGTTTGTGAACGTTGGATGTGTGTTTGTGGACGTTGGGTGTGTGTTTGTGGACGTTGGATGTGTGTTTGTGAACGTTGGGTGTGTGTTTGTGGACGTTGGGTGTGTGTGTTTGTGAACGTTGGATGTGTTTGTGAACGTTGGGTGTGTGTTTGTGGACGTTGGGTATGTGTTTGTGGACGTTGGATGTGTGTTTG